GGGGGAAAGCTCCTTTCCCATATTTAGGATACACACATTTGTCTGTTACTGTGAAATTAACTGAAAACCAACCTGAGATTTCACCGTTTTTCTTCTGTAGATCTGAATTAAGCGATCTGATCTCCTCTTCTCTCTCCTGCAACAATGACGCCGTCCTAACAAAGAGCAACGAGCGTCAGAAACCTCGTCTTCAGGTCAAAGGAAACAAGTGTCGCACGTGTGTGTGTGTGTGTGTGTGTGTGTGTGGCAGGCACACTTGTTTTGCTGCAGCTGGAGGGCTTCGTGGTTCTTCTTCAGGGTGTCCGTCTGTTTGGTGAGAGAAACGTGAGCCGCCTGCACCTCCTTCAGCAGCCGCTCCGTCTCATTGAACCTGCAGAGCAGAACTGTCACACATCTGCACGTCCCAATAAACCAGCCCAAAGTTTCATTTCCACAGCCTGAAATAAAGTCTTGTTATACACGTGTTATAAGATCATTTCTCTCAGGTGGAAACAAAACAGGACAGTACTGGTTAAATCTGCAGCAGTGATCACAGATCAGGACTGTGGACTTTAAAAGTGAGAACTAAAAAAGGAACAGAAAAAAAGAGACTTTGGTGGTTAAGAAGTCAAAACACGTTTGACCCCAGCGTCTGTAACGTCATCAAAACACAAAAAAGTGTTTTTCCTCTTCTTACTGGCGTTAAAAGGAAATAGTGCAGATTGAACTGTGTTGGCTCAGAGAGCGAAGTGTGAGGAGAAAAACCTTCACTGCTTAACTACAGCTGTTATTAAAAATAGAGCCAAAATAAACAAATAAACAAACAAATAAATAAATCCCACCATGGTTTCACCAAAGTGCCTCTGACCTGTTGAGCAGGGTGTTGTAGGCTCCTTTCAGGGCCTGGTGCTCCTCAGAGTCCCGCTGTAGCCTGGAGTTGTGCTGCAGCAGCTCCTCCATGTCAGCTCTGGAGCGCTCCACCTCCAGCACCTGGCTGCTCAGCTCCACCTTCAGCTCCTCGCGCCGCCGCTCGGCGTCCTTCAGCAGACCGCCCAGCTTACGAGCCTGCGGGCAGAACACGGGGCAAAATTAACATACAGGAAAAGTGGATTTTACTAAAAACAGCGAGGATCAGTGATTGAACTTCTAAGCAAAGATGAACTTTCCCATGGCTTGATTTAATTTAATGATTTTAGGAGGTGCTCACACTGACACTGCTTCACATTTAACATCAGAAGAGCATTTGGCACGGACAGCGTGACGCAGTGCATCTGCAAACTACAACCTGGGACTGCATTAAACGTCGTAATTACACGTATTTATTCACTATTAATCTTCTAGCACAAAATGTGAGAAAAAAAACAGGAAAAATAAAGTTTAAATAGCTCGTTATGATGGTCTAAAGGAAAGAATAAAAACAATAACAACATGTTACCTCAGCCTGAGCTCTCTGAAAGCGATACTGAGCGAGGAGACGGTCGGCCTGAGAAAGAGCCAGAGCCAGAGCCTCCAACAAGTCCTGCAGACGGCTCTCCTTAGACTGAGGAGGAGACACACAGAAACCTTCATCAGATACAGAAATGCTAAAATCCAGATAAAGTCTGAATGCTTCTGCAGAGGCTTCAGTGTTACATCAACAAATAACTCTCAAGAAGTAAAAATCAGACTGTTAAAAACAAACTGCAGTTTTCGAGGCCCCGATGACTTTAAATTATCCAGGGAACAAAGAAAAGTCCATCCATCTTCATCCGCTTTATCCGAGGCCGGGTCGCGGGGGCAGCAGCCTAAGCAAAGAGGC